TTTTAGAAAGTGTAAGGGGTGAAATGAAGATGTCTTCTAGGTTAGGTTACAATACTAACACTTGATGAAAGGTCAAGAATACCCTTACTAACTTTAGAAAGTGTAAAGAACAAGGGAACTCCCTTCAAAGCTCAAGGTACAACTTGACTTTGGAGTTGACTAGTCAAATACTAGTCCCCAACTATTAAATTTCAGGATTTTAGAAATTAATTCCTCAATTGAAATAGGATTAATTACTCAATTAATCCATGAATTGAATTTGGATTTTTGGGGTGTCACATATCCACTCCCACAGTCAAAACCCAATGCTTATACTCGAAAATGCTCATCCTCCGATCAATCATCGTCAAAACCTTGTATCTTTTAGATTGTGAATCGAACACCAATAGTGCACAAGTTTTAGTTCGATGGGGGGAGTTGAATTGGAATCTTGGAAGGGAAATACGTTGTCCGGTACTAACATTGCGAACAACGACGTCTCCATTGGGTCTGGACAGACAACTCTGGCCATCGGAGGACGAGTGTAGACAACCTTACAGAAAGGGTTCATCAACGTCCAAGTAGCCGAGATGGTTGGCTTGGAGGTTTTCTTGGCTGAAATTATTTATGGTGTAATACCCAGGGGGCGGAAGGGATGTCAGAAAGCGGCATTCGAGGTATGATAGCGATGACAATGCCCGCCTACTGGAAAGTGTCAAGGACACGCTGCGGTGCAGAATGCCAAAGGCATGATCATCTATAAGAGCGTAAAAGAATTTAGGATCGCACACGGGTCGTATTAGCGACTTAGCGGGGAGCTTGGAGAGGATCTCAAAGAGAATGTCTTGGGGAAGAAGATGAAGAGGTAGTGTTGAAACACCTGCCACCGTCTTCTCCGATGCGCTCATTGTTTAATTTGCAGGAGTACAATTTTAGGGTTAATTTGGAGTAGCCTTAGCTCGTACTGTACTAGAATATATATTGAGGATAATGGGATTTTCAGGATTTTTGGAGTATCTGATCGACTTGTATATAAGGTAAAATTGTATTCTCCCACAACACTGTCTAGTTAAATTTTAGATTTCCTAATTAACGAGGGAATGAAGTTAAAAGGAATTTTTTTTTAGTACAAAGTTAAAAGAAAATTAATTCTATGGGTGTGTTTGGTTCGCACATGAGAATCGGAATAGGAATGAGAATTAAATACTTGCTGGTAATGATAATGAATTTTGGTGAAAGTATTTTGCATGTTTGTAGTAGGGTTCACAAAATATGAACCTTGGTCCAACCTATAACAATTGTCATTCTCCTTCCAAGCCAACAACCTTCTCGCTTCATTGTGTGCCTACATTCTTCTCTTCAAATCCCTTTTTGCTTAGACAAATTTAATTGGAATGACGAGATTTAAACTAGTAATGTGCATTGTACCCGGAACAAAATTAGAATATTAGAATAGCATTTAAAATGAGAGTGTGATTCATATTTTATAATGTTATTGTGGTATTATATGTTTAATTTCAATTCAAATTTGGTTGATAATCATCATTTTGGACCATTTTATTACTAAATATAATGAAATAAGAGAACCAATGGTAAACAAAACAAACACAACTAACAAAATCTGGTGTAATGTGTCAGAAAGGGGATTAGAGAAAAGAGGGAGAGAGTCGATCCGTCTTCTTTTTCTTTTGAAGCAAAATTTCCTATCTGAAGCAAAAGAAGAGGGAATGAATATTTGTAAGAAATGAAGCTATATATAGCAATTTATGCTTCACACCACTACATGAAATATGACTCATTTGCACTCCTACTTATCATATATGGAAACCTTGTACTCTTGAAACACAAGTTTAATATAATTGTTTTAAAGTCCGTACAAGAGACATAAATTCAATTCTTATTTTCCAAAGACCTACTGAAGTAGAAGAAGATATGAATAAAATAGGTAATACTTGTAAAAAGGGTACGTTTGCTAGACAATCATTTCACTCTTATTTTTTTAGAAGCCAAATACTTTGCCATACCTTAGAAGCTGTAACATTCAATTTTATGTTTTAAATTCGCAATTAATTTGAAAATAAGAATCATTTAGAATACATAAAAAATAAAATCAAACCAAACATACTGTAGTACAGACCAAACGATGCCATGTTTGAGGCTGCCAATCTCTTGGGCTATGACTTCACACATTCTGCAGCCGGGTAATTTATTTATACATATATACATATACTCGTGTATTTATTTATCAGTCATCTCTTACTAGCTACAAAATTATGAAATTAATTTGCAGGCAAGAGTCAAAATTTATTGGGGGGAATTGTGGAAGATGTAATGGAGAAATTAAATCCTATTAAATTTATTGTCATATAACGCAGTTACGCAGGAATATAAACTCGTATGATTGCAATAACCTTGATGGAGTATCAATACGAGTTGTTACTCTTTGTACTAGTTATTCAAAGCTGTTTACAAGCCAGTGATATCTAATAATGAAAAACAGAATAAAATATTAAAGTAGGACTAACACCTATTTAAACATGAATCCTATAAATCAACTTTTTGAAGAAGTCTATACATATATATAATTTGAGTTAATCCTCTAGATTACACAAATTGCTTGTCACCATATCTTGTTTCTCAATAACATTTGTACTTATCGGTTATGTAGCTACTACTCCAGATACCACACCGTACCGTCCAAACACCTTTAATTTGAAACTTCAATTTTCTTCCTCTTAGGCAGTCCCAATATATAGTCGTTTGCATGTTTACGACAATTGTAGAGGAATGATATTGTCCAAAAGGATGATGAGAGATTTTTGGAACCGACAACAACTTTCTTGACTTTGTATTTTATATAAAATCTTAGGACATAACAATGTAACATGATCATATGGTCCAACAATATTAGATCAACAAAGACCATATTTGTTACAAACTCTATCCAATACCTCTAATATATATGCCAATTAAAAAGATAAATGAACAACGTAATTAATAAGATATACGACTGTAAAATTTACAATCTCACCTTTTGGCATATGTTGGTCAACAATTAAACTTCCTTTTTTATGTGCATACACTCCCCCTCGCTACGTATGGCATAGCTTTCTCCCCCATTTTGATAAACAAAGGCCAAAGGCAATATCTCAAGGTTAGAACATCCAAGAAGCTTTCAATCCCTATCATGAGAATTAAATTAACAAAATGTGGAAAGAGAGAAGTATACACTAACTAAGAATCGTTACTATTGAAGATTATTCAGCATTTATAAGATACTTCAATAAATAAAAGGAGAGAAGTGGTTGTTTCCCAATTTTGATGCTCCCCTTTGTATATACGATTGGCCAACAACCCGATGTTGCATTGTAATGTTGAACAAAAAAAAACAAGAAATGCTTCTAGTGCACTCAATTAATCATATACTTTCTCTAGCTAATGCATTAGATAAGACTGAAGATAATAAAAACTTATTCCAATTTAATTATATGCAAACGACGTAACTTTTAATTTAGAGCAAAGGACAATTTCGTATCCGGACTAAAACGTTCTTCAAATAACTAGAACTTAAGAATTGAATGGCCTAAAGTTAAAAACATCATAAAAACTACTCAAGCTTGGTAGGAGCTACGCGAATGCCCTCTGCCACAAGGTCATTAGTCTATCCAGGTAAGTATGTACCATAAATCCTATCCAGGTAAGTATGTACCAAGTTGTCATACTTTTCTAATCTTTTCCTATTTTATGAACTTCCGATGTGGGATAGCAACATTGAATCATATATGTAATTAACTCCATCAACAATAACCGTCAATTTTAGCCCAAATTTTTCTCATAATTCAAACATGGAAAGAATTAGAAATTCCTCAACTACTCCACCTACATCAAATTTGTAGTATAGTAATGCAAAACTTATCTCTATCCACTTACACACAATATTCTCTTGATAACATTACTATCGTCACCTTTCAAAGTTAGATATTGGTAGTACATGTGAGTGTATTAATCACATTCATATTTACAATTTAAAATTGGAAAAATGACACTTTTTCCCCTTATGTTATATGCTTATAGCACTTTTTTCCGCTGAGTTATTCATGCATCCACATTTGCCCCCTCAATTATTATAAAAGTGGCAGTTTTCCCCCTTTATAATATTAAATGGACATTTCTATCCTTAAAATAAATATTTTATTTATTTATCTTCTTCAACAAATTATTGCTTATACGTAGGGATGACCACGGTTCAGTTCAAACTGAACCGAACACTATAGCAATCAAATAAAAAAATTTCGGTTATAATTCATAACATAACCCAATATTTGGGTTTCCGTTTATTAAAATCATCAACTGGAAAAAAATGGCTCCTGAACCGTGAACCGGAGATTCAAATCAGAACAACTACTAGCGATAGCTTAAAATTAGAATTATAATATTTGCAAATAGTGTATGTTTTTTTTTTTCGCATTTATATTGACTCTCACATATAAGTATATATAATCGCGATTTGGTTTCTATTTTGAATCGTCGGTTCATGATTTTGGATCCAATTTGAACTGTTGGTTCAAACTTTATTTTAATTTTTTTTTATTTATTTTTAAAGTATTCAAAAAATTCAACAATTAATGCATTTTATTTTTTCAAATCGTGGTTATAATTTGTTGGAGAAGAAAAAAAAATGAAATATTTATTTTAAGGGTAAATATGTCCATTTAATATATCAGGGGAAAAACTGCCACTTAAATAATTTAGGGGGAAAAAGTGCTATAAGTATATAACATAGGGGGAGAAAGTGCCATTTTCCCTTTAAAATTATATTGACATTTATATAATTTTGATTACTGAAAATTAAAAAGATAGGAAACATTCTCAAAGTTATCAACTAATACGTAAAAAGGAAACATTCTCAAATTAATGAAATTAACAAGTTAAGCCCTCCTCATAAACAAAACTTGCTGTGAATTTCCGACCCTGCTTGTCAACCCTAAAGTTCTCTAATAATTCGAACATTCAAAATCAAACTACTCAATGGAAAACACATGGTCCATAGTCTTATAAATTCTAACATCCTCAGGGAAACAAATTGGAAATTCCTTAACTCCACCTACATCAAATTTTCTCCAAACCTCACTTTTCAAGTTACAAACCAAAATGAAAAATTGTTTACTATCTATACATAACAACACAATTTCCCCAGCATGATTCGTAGTAAAGCGGTACAAATCAAACTTGAATGGAATGATCATTGTAATCTTCTCCCAGCATCCCTTAGATTTCTCCAAAGTCCAAACAACCATGTTGAATAGGTGGCCTATGTTGTGAACATAAATGATAGCCAGTCTACCTCCATCAACTTGTAGCAATGCAAAATTTCTGAGAACAAAATCAGTATAATGATATGTTTCCCCAGATGCATCTATAGAACGAAGGTGTGGTGATGATGATGTAACTTCAGCTGGAATTGGTATAAAAGAATAACTCTCGGACCAAACTTCAAATGCTACTATGTGGAAGCTAGGAGGGTCATCTCTAGTCAGCCAATTATAGAAATAGATAACACCATCAATGTGAACACTAGTATCGGAATAGCCAGCGCAGCCAACGCCATCCAAGGGGTGGGAAGAATAGTTGATCTCCCTCCATGATTTATCAACTCCTAGAGTCAAAACCCAGTGCTTATACTCGAAGCAGCTCCTCCGATCAATCATCAAAACCTTGTATCTTTTAGATTGTGAATCGAACCCCAATAGTGCACAGGTTTTAGTTCCATGGGGGGAGTCGAATTGGAATCTTGGAAGGGAAATACGTTGTCCGGTACTAACATTGCAAACAACAACGATGTCTCCATTGGGTCTGGACAGACAAATCAGGCCGTCAGAGGAGGAGTGTAGACAACCTTTCAGAAAGGGTTCATCACCGTCCAAGTAGCCGAGACGGTCGGCTTGGAGCATTCCCGGCCGCCGGGGGTTTTCTTTGCTGAAATTTATGGTGTAATACGCAGGGGCGGAAGGGACGGAGCGCGGCCTTCGAGAAGGTATGATAGCGATTAGGATGGCCGCCTTACTGGGAAGTGTCAAGGACAAGGTGCGATGCAGAACGCCAAAGCCATGATCAACTATGAGAGCGTAAAAGAATTTAGAAACGCACCTGAATCGTACTAGCGACTTAGCAGGGAGCTTGGAGAGGATCTCGACGAGAATGTCTTGCGGGAGAAGATGAAGATGAAGAGTTAGCGTTGAAACACCTGCCGCCGTCTTCTCCGATGCGCTCATCGTTGGTATCCTACGAGCTGGCTGAGGTTTAATTTGCAGGACTACAGTTTTAGGGTTAATTTGGATTTTTGGAGTATCCTCCTCGTACTAGAAATATATTGAGGATAATGGGGTTTTCAGGATTTTTGGAGTATCCGCGTACTACATAGAGTTGTATTTAAGGTAAAATTGTATTTTCCCACAGAACACCTCCTGATTGCGAATTGCTATACAATCAATGTTGGAGTCTCCTTTGTTTTCAAAAAAAAAAAAAAAAAAAAAAATGTTGGAGTCTCCTTTAAAAAAAATAAAATAAAAAATGTTGGAGTCTAATTAAATTTAAGATTTCCTAAAGAGGGATTGGGGTTAAAAGTATTTTGGGTGTGTTTGGTTGGTGGGTTTTGTCCATAGGAATGGGTATGAAAGTGACTGTTGTCTTTTGGTTGATAGGTTTTTAGAACACTACTATGGGTTTCGATTACCCCATCAATTGAAAAACACATACCCAAATAAAATGAGGGTTTCATTCCCTTATTCATTCCCAAGCACTACTATTAGTAACCATTCTCATTCCACCTTACTACCAAACATGTTAAATACTTCCACATAAACCCATTACCATTACCAAATATTTAATATCCATTCCAATTCCGATTCCTATGTGCGAACCAAACACACCCTTTCTTTTTCTCTTTTTTGAGTATAGAGTTAAAAGGAAATTAATTCTATATATTCTTCTCCGATCCCATCAATTCTATATATTTTGGTATGAATGGGTAGGTTTAAAATAGATAATAGGTAGCCAATAACTTTGTGGTTTAGTGGCATGTGGTGACTCTCAAAAAAGAGGTTATGGATTCGAGCTTTAGTGAGGGTGGTAAAACATACTATCAATTAGTAGGCACATGTAGAATAGATTTCAAAATAAAATTATAATTTTAAAATTTATGAAAATAGAAGACAAATATATGCACAAGCTTATAGATGAACATATATATAATTTGTACATACTTATCTTGTGCAAAATTAACATATTTCATTTATATCTCTCATGTTGACACAAAGCAAACTGTCAGACACAATATATATACATATATATATATATATATATATATATATATATATATATATATATATATATATAATAATTGTACATACTTATCTTGTGCAAAATATCTTTATAATATTTCTTGCTTTAGTTATACAAGTTGGTTGTAGGTTCTTGATATTGTTAATCAAATACAATTGCAGACAATATTCATTGGAAAATCGATAACATACCATCTAAACGTATTTTAATGAAATGTATGTTAACAAGCCCGCATGGGTAGCTCAACTGGTCATAGAGGTGAAACTTTGGAATAATGAAATGTATGTTAACGTGCATTAAACATCTTTAGTCTATGAAAGATAAATAACTTACCAATATTCACATATAATGAATTAGCACTTTATAGTACGTATGTACAGATTATATTAAAGAAATTGTGATTATATATGGCTCTCATCGAGGGAAGGTCAAAGGATCGAATCCCAGTGGTAGGTATTGACTCCTTAGACTGCAACAGATAGAGAAAGTATAAAACAGATAATACATTGTAATAGAGTTAATAGTATTCCATGACCGGGTGCGGAGGGGTGCTGCGTGATTATGAAGGAAGATGGATTAAGGGCTTCAGCTGCATGATGAAGACGGGTAATCCAACAGAGGTTGAACTATGGGCAATTTATCTGGGGCTCAAATGGACGTGGAACCAGGGAAATAGGAGTATCTATCTACTCAGCGACTCGGAACAAGCGGTCGATTGGTTAAATGGACACTTCGACATTCTAGGCCATTGCGACACCATCGTTAAGTGGTGTAAGGAATGGCTACAGAAGGATTGAACAGTCAAGATTGAGTACATACCTCGCGAGAAGAACGATGTTGCAGATTGGCTGGCGAAGGAAGCTCCGCGGCGTTAGTGTGAGTGAGTGGACTTCCAGTGCCCACCAAGCGAAGTTCGTGACACTTTGAGCTTGGATGATGTGTCTATTGTGCAGGATGCACTAGATTAATAGGGTCACCCCATTACCCCTCCCAAAAAAAAAAAAAAAATAGTATTCAAAAAATTCTATCAATAGTTGAAATTAAAAATAATGTAATTTAAAAAGTTAAATTTGGATTTCAATAGCATTTGAATGGCACAAATTAATTCATAATTAATTAAGATTTGTTGTGATTTTTTTATTCTAGGGTCTGGTAGAAAAACCTAAAAAATATTCGTTTGAAAAATAATTTTTCTAAGATGACGATTTATTGTTTTTTTTTTTTTTTGCATGATGCTAAGGAACACAAAAGTAAAGACATTAATTATCTTAGAGCATTCTCATTAGTGAAATTTTAGCATTGGTTTTGTAATGAGATTTTAGCATTGGTTTTGTAGACGATGTAGGAAAGACGAGAAACGAAAAAGAAGAGAACAAAAAAAGAGAAAAGTAAATCTTTTTTAAGATTGGGAGAATAATAAGAACCAGCACACATAGAATCTAATAAGGGTCTATAGTGGACTCATCACAAGATCCATAACTACGACCTTCAAGCATCATTGGTGGAAGAAACAAGAAAGTCCAATAATAATTCAATTCGATAGAGGTAAGTATTATAGTGGCCCATTTCAAGTGATATCATGGATCGAAAATAATGCTTACAAGATTCGAGGAGATAGTTATGCTGTGCATCTGTATGCACCATGCATGGTGCATACGGATGCCAAAACGACGTCGTTTTATTAAAAAATGCGCGTCTCTCCTTTAAAAAAAATTCAGGTTCGATTCCCAGCAACAACATTATATTGTTCATTCATTCTGGAATTTTAGTTCATAGATTATGGAATTATAGTTCATTGATTATGGAATTATAGTTCATCGATTATGGAATTGTAGTTCATCGATTCTGAAATTTTAGTTTATAGATTATGGAATTTTAGTTCATTCATTCTGGAATTTTTAGTTCATAGATTAGATTATGGAATTATAGTTCATCGATTATGGAATTATAGTTCATCGATTATGGAATTTTAGTTTTGCTGGGAATCGAACCTGATTTTTTTTTTTTTAAGGGGAGACGCGCGTTTTATTAAAACGACGTCGTTTTTGCATCCCTATGCACCATGCATGGTGCATACGGATGCACAACATAATTTGCCGATTCGAGGTCAAATCATTTTCAAAAAGGGGAGGATAATGCGGCCCAACATAATGAAGATCCATTAAGAGTACCAATTGGGCCAATCACAAGGCCTAAGTCCAAACAATTAAGGCAACTCTTCATTGGTGATGTTCAAAGATGATGGAAATCCAAGTCAAGCCCATTTGCAAAAGATGAAGAAGAACTCAAGCCTTTTTATAATTGTTTAAGTGCTGATTTTGGAGATTAAATTAGGCCCAAATCAGCCATATTGTTTGTGGCCATCATTATTTTAAATTGTTTGGAATTAAAGAGAAAACACTAGTTTGTATTTAGAAAGGATTTCTTAAATCCCTTTCTAAATCGGACTATATTTGCTTGCTTTTTAGATTAGGTTTAGGACTCTTTTTCCTAATGTATTTAGGATTACAATGTTGCCCTATACCTATAAATAGGACACATCCATATCAGTTTTAAGGAGGCTTTTAATTCAATAAAATTCTTAAGTTTTTCTTTACACTTGTGTAAGAAACCTTATGGCTAATTGTGGACTCAATTAGTGGCTAGTCGTGGACTCGACTGGCAAATTGATTCGTGGACTTGAATCAATCTTCCTTTCTTCAACCTTAGATTTAGGTTCGTGGACTCGTTCTTGAATCGAAGGAAACTAGATCCGACTCTAGTTGATTGAAGATTGCATCATCGAGGTACTTGAAGCTACATGAGATTCTTCAAAGTCTTTGAGGATTCGGGACTAAGTGTTTCTCGTGAGGTCTAAGGTATTTTGATCCATCTCTATCTTTACTTTTGAGAGCATTCTTGGGACAATACTCCATCTTATTTGAATCTTGGACTAGGTTCATATCACTTGACCCAACTACCCCAAGCCCTTATGTGTATATATTATGTTGTGAGACCAAATATCAAGCCCAATATATATAATCTACCTCCCTAAATATATAATCTTCGCCAAATGAAGCACGTCCCTCCCATCTTCTTCCGGCGACGTGCTGGCTTTAGTGTAACAGTGGGCATGGTGGCGGGAGGTGGTCTGACCGTGGTGCCACCCGCGACTTCCAGGCTGAACGTAAAAGATGGGAAGGGGTAAGACGCTACTTCCTTTGTTGATTGTTGATTAATTTAGTGTTTATTAGTTTGTTATTGTTTAGATTACCAAGTGGTTTTCTAATTTAGTTGGTTAAGGTTTTGTTTAATTAAGGGGAGGTCTAAAACTGCTGGAAATTATCATTTTTCTGACCTCATTTCGACCACCGAAAAAAGTGGTCGCGAAAAAGAATTTTTTTTAATTTTTTCGTCCAAAGTTTGCACTAGTCGGAAAGTGGTCGAAATTTCCGACCACTTTCTCGTAGTGGTCAGTAAATACCGACTAGTATTTAAATGTGGTTAGAAGCGACGCTTGTAAACCCTCCTAAAAGCAGCAGAGAGAAAGCTTATTCTTTCTCTAAAATGCCCTCACACTGTTAAAAAAAAAAAAAATACTTATAACCAACAGGGCTCCGTTAATGAGACTCTAATTTTTGGACATTGCTTCCCATCAACGGATGGTCAAGCAACCGAGCAGTCACCCCTTGAAACCATTTATAATTTCCTCCACTACAACTACTTCAAACTATTCATCTCAGCCTTCGTCTCATCCATCTCTCAGCCGATGTTGCCTCCTCCGCCAACGCCGCGAACCACCGCGACCTGTAGTAGACGCAACTGCCGACGTCGCCATTCCGTCTCGACCTACTACTGACCCTACTAGCCTCCGCCACCGCCACTGCGTGCTGGCCTCCACCACCGCTGGTAAGTCTCCCTTCGAATCTTCGAATTTTTTGTTATTTATTTCTTCTCCTAATCTCTAAAACCGAATCGGACGGCTCAGATCTGGACGGATTTGCTCCCTTTTCGCTCAAAATATACTCACCGGAAGAAGTAGAACCGGAGATTCAAGCTTATAGCGGCAGGCATCGCCTCAAACCGACGACGCTCCTCCTTTCGCTAGTCGTCGCCTCAAACCGACGGGGGAGGTAAGGGTGAAATTTTGCTTGCTTTCACTAGACTGGCGGAGTTTAACAAACTGAGTTTTGGTGCTGATAGGTATGTAATTTTGCTTGCTTTCATTTAAAGATTGTTCAATCAAAGAGCATGTGTCATTTTCTTTTTTGACAAAAATACAGAGTAATAATATATATAAATGCAATACTTTAAAGGCATCTTAACTCTAAGATTGGAGCTGTATCTAGATTCTGTGCTGAATTTTTCTAAGTAGCAACTGTTAATTTGGTGTATGTAATTTGGTATTATAGCTTTCCTGATAATTATTTTGTGCTAACATCTATATAATTTGGTGTGTGTTTTGAATTGCTTTAGTGCTTTGAATTGCATATATGACTTTTCTATATATGGTTTTGAGAGTTTGTGTGAATTTGAAACCACTGAAAATTACAATTATGATAATATATTTTTCACCCTTAAATGTATGTTGTATTTGAAGCTCATCTTTTAAACACTTGATCACTACATGATGCCAATAATATCAAGACTGTAGAACTTAAGTATCATTTGACTCCAAATGGAACAGAATCTGCAGGTTACCTATGTGTGTGTATATATTTATGTGTATATATTTAGTAAAATGTGTATTTTATCTGCACTTCCAATGCCTGGAACCATTGCTCCTTATTATTAACTATATATATACAGTATATATATATATATATATATATATATATATATATATATATATATATATATATATATATATATATATATATATATATATATATATATGTAATTATGTACTTCTTTCTGTATTATAAATTAATGCATTGTCTGCAACTATTACCTCACACTGTCCTCTTCAACATCATTGCCAGGTGAATGCTGTGAAGTTTAATGATTATGCTACTGTAGTTGTATCTTCTGGTTATGATAAATCTTTGCGTGTCTGGGACTGCAAATCTCACAGCACTGAACCAATTCAGGTTCGTAACTTTCCCTTTCTTATTGAAACTATATTTTTTAAAAACCTGAGGTTTTGCTAATAATTATAATCTTTTTAGTTGCCAATGATGAAGTAGGAAAAATTTTGTTGGTTTTGTGATATTATAATTAGACTAGAATTGACTGTGTATGTGATTACATCTGCTGGATGGTTATACAAGTCATCTACTGATCTACACTCTATCTTGATGTGGTCCAATTTTGGTGGCAGTATGCAGATCAGATAATAGTTTGGAGATTGAATCAGAAGTTAAATTTCAGCCGATGCCACTGTTCAAAAAGAAATTAATTCCCTTTCTTTTTTGTTTTTTTTTTTCTTTCTCTGTCAATCATTAATGATTATTATCCTCGATGAATCGCTGATTCTATTACTGGTAATCAAAACAGAAAGCTAAGATTGAAGAGGGTAACAAGAGTTCCAGCCATAAGCATGAAGCTTTCAGACATTCCACCCGATGATTATTCATGGCGGAAATATGGACATAAGCCCATCAAAGGATCCCCACACCCAAGGTATTCTTTCATCCTAGCTTGTTTTCTGGGTTATTAACAAGATGATTAGCTTAAGATTGCTAAGGGTTATGTCGACCTCTTGAACAATGTTACTTTTACATGTGTTTTTTCTAAGATTGAATTAGTGTGTACTATCTGCCAGGTTTTGATTTATCGAAATGAAGGTGAAAGGTGCTTGAAAGAAACATCTATTAATTCACTGAGGATAAGCCTCAAGGTATTGATAGCAATGTGCATATTCCGATTTTTGTTTCTCTTACAAATGTTCTATAGCATATTTACACTGTGGTGATCATCTGATGCATTCTAAGCACTAGCTTCACATCATGATGGCTCATTTTGGCTGCAGTATGCAACTGTGTATCTTCTTCAATATCCTAGAGGCCAATGGGTTCAGTATACATCTAAATTCCATTTATTGGTTTCCTTGACATTTTAAGTAGTTGTGTACATGGTGTTTGCATGCATTATGTATAGCTCGAGATTTTGATTCCTAAAAAGAAGAAAAGAAAATACAAGTAAAAGCTTATGCTTGTCACTCTCTGTTCCTTTTCCTTCTATAAACATTATAGGAACATAAGAAAATTGAATCAGATGCTTGTTTAGGCTCCAAGAGAAGCTTTTCATTCTGTATTTTTTTCCATGTTTAGGCCCCAAGTACAGTGCAGGCAAATGCTGAATCAGATGCAAAGGCATCTGAAGGGAAGGAAAATGTTTCTGGGAAAAATCAAAGGGAAGTTCTGGTGGCAAAGCCGAAAGCAAAAAAGCAGCTTCTATCTCAGGAAATGATGGTGCCACCCAAAGGTCTATTGTTGTGGATTTGGTGTCGAATTCCTTTTAATTTTCACCCTAAATTATTTTACCTCTTCTTTATTTAGTTGCCTCTTTTAAGTATTTATCACATTCTTATTATACAAATAATCTTCTCATGAGCAATACTGAAAGCGGAGTGATGACTCATCAGATGTAAGTGATGAGAATAATAACCAGGTATGTTATCTGGAATTACTAAACACATGCTTTTATTTTTTAGGGCTACTAGAACATGCTCTATTGTTGTTGAGGAATCGGTGAGAAGCCTTGATGAGAAGTTAGCACCTGCTCTCGATGAGTGCAACGCTAAAGATGAATTAGTCACAAAGTTCACAAAAATGGCGGAAGAAGCCATTGCAGGTGATAACTTCATTTCTTTGTTTATTCATGTTGTATTGAAGATTCTTTCAATTTTTTTCCTGTTTCTGCAAAGTCCTTCCAACTAACTTTTGTGCAATTTGTTAATTGATGCAAAATTTAGCTCACAAGAAAGCGGAGGCTAAAATTATGTGTTTGAAGGAAGAGTTAGAAGAATGGAAGGCTAACTCACCTTACCAGTGCATTGAAGGATTGTATGCAGAAATGAAGGAAGAGCTGGCTATTTATGGACCTATATCAAATGATATCTCCTCCATATCAAGCCATGAATCGAAGAAGGAGCATCAAAGTGTTTCTACTGAAGCTTGGGCTTGTGCTTTGATATCTGAACTAGAGCATTTCAAGAATCATAAGGACCAGAAGAGTAACTCTGAACAGAAAATGATTGGAGTTTCAGAGATGAGGCTAATGGATGATTTTGTCGAAATGGAAAAACTAGCAATAGTAGCAAATATCTTCAAACATATTGATGAATGAATTCTCTTCAAGAATATGAAATGTGTATTTTATGATTTTTTAGCAAATATCTTACCAGCTTGCAACAATATATATATATATATATATATATATATATATATATATATATATATATATATATATATATATATATATATATATATATTCATTTCATTACAGAGATTTCTCTGTAATGAAATGATTTTTTTTATTGACTGCGTCCAGTTTTCCGACCACCAAAGTGGTCGAAACTTTCGACCACTGGCGGTCGGAAAATCTGGACCGGCCTAACTATTCTCTTGGCCATTTTTTTCGACGGCTTTAGAAAAGTGGTTACTCTTTCCGACCACTCTCTCTGGTGGTTGGAAATAGCTAGGGGTATTTTTCCGGACACCCAAATTGATCGGAAAAAGGTCGGAACAGGCTTTTCCGACCTAATTAAGGCCATTTCTGACCACTTTTCGGTGGTCGGAAAATGGCAAATTTCCAGCAGTGTAAGGATCAAATCCCCATTGGCTTATGAAATCTTTTTTAAGGCATTATTAGTGTAATGGGAATCACTGAGATTGATTAATAGATCTATGTTGTTGATTAGATTATTAAAAGGGTGCTTTGATTAGTTGGTAAAACTTGTGGTTAATATTAGGATAAGTTTAGGTTTGAATCTCTCTTTAGCTAATATACTTTTATTTATTTGTTAAGCCTTATTATTTAGTGAAGGTCCGATTTGCTACACAAGTTTTTTACGGTAGATTGGCCTTAATTTTGAGATGAGCCTAGGATTGGCTTTGTTGTTTTTGGAAGGTTTGCTAAGATGTAATACCCCATAATTTTCATGCAGAATTAAACCTTAAACATGCAGATAACTAACCAAAACATCAAACACAGCGGAAGACTAAACAAAGATTATATAAATAGGAAATAAAAAGGGTGTTATGCCACGTCCACCCAAAGGTGAACGCACAGGCTAAACATCTGCATAATCCACAATCTAAATCCATACCACACAAGAGTACTAATGTCTATCCTTGGCTCACAGGCCACAACAACTCAAAACAAGGGATCTACACTAACAGGTTCTAGACCGCGCTCTCGTCTACACATCACCTGAAAGAAACACATAAAAGATGGGACGACGCCCGATCAACGAATAATGCTGGTAACCCACCAATACATGTGAAATATCATACATAGATAGGATATACGTATGTAAAATTATTTGAGAAACGGAATATATATATATATATATATATATATATATATATATATATATATATATATATATATATATATATATATATATATATATATATATATATAAGAGCGCTCATATGCGGCGGGGTCTTACGGTGCGGCGGTGCGGTCAAATTCCAGAATACACCAACAGTGTTAACAATATGCACCAACAGTGTAATAAAAACACACCCCAATGAAATGTAATAAAACATCACAAAATACACCACAGACTCAAAAAAACACACCATATAACTTACCACCCCCAATGGTGTATTTCCGAACAGTGTATGGTGTTTTTACTCACACCTAATGGTGTGTGTTTGGTGATGCAGGGCTCTGTTTACTCTGTTTTGTGTGGTGTATTTCCTAACGTTGATGGTGCATATTTGGTGAACTATTGGTGTTGCCGCACCGTAAGAAATAACCGCACCGTAAGACACTGCCGCACCTGAACCCGCATATATATATATATATATATATATATATATATATATATATATATATATATATATATATATATATATATATATATATATGTTCAAAACCAAGAGCAGAAGTCAACACAAGGCTCTATGCACTCACCACCAGCATTCGGGAACACATCCCAAGACCACAAGAAGTACAACGACACAAAAGAACGACTCAAGGCATAATCTATCATCACACAGTAGATTAACACCCGACATGCATAACACAAGAGAGAGTAAAGACATAACCATTGGCAACACATGCCTTTGTGACATCACACGTCATAAGTAAAGAAATACACAACAACGGCTACACAAGCCTTCGTGACGTCACCCATCACGAATTGAGATGCCTTCCTTATGCCCGGTTCCAACCTTATGGCTACCCCCAACCTTATATCTAGTTCCGACCTTTACCTCTAGGACCCCTGTACACCAAGTCCAACCTTATCCCGCCGAGGACCGTCGTCCCCTCTCCAACAAGTCTGCAACAGAACCACCGATTTCATAGTACACGAGGATACCGAACACACACGGCAACACATGCCTCCTAAGAAATATGTGAACCTTACACAAAGGTCACAAACTCCATAATCGCGTCATGGCCACCACGAGGACCACTGCGTACCTTGGTGACTAGTGGCCCATACCACTAATCCTGCAATCCAGGTACAGCCACACACACACCACACCTCAACAGGAATCAATCAACGGATCACAACGAACATATGAAACCATACTCAATCAAGGAATGGATCACAGTCCAACAACAACGATGAACGACACAAGTCATCATCAACCAATAGGAAAGTACAAACAACACACATGCTAGCATTTAAACACCGAACTAGCATGCTTATCAAACGGGTAAACCAAACATAGTTCCGAAGAACACACAAGACTCATCACGGTTCAACGAATCACAATGTTGAACACTTAGCACGATTCAAGACACCAAAACCTACATGGATTCCTACCATATAAAGTTCTAGATATACGAAACATCAAGAAGAAGCTCAAATAGTTCCACAAAAGAACATCGGGAAGTTAAGAGACCAAATACCAAGTCAAAAGAATCACGGGGAACAAATCCCCAAACACCACCATATATGTACCCGTGGGTGGGGCCACGGGTGGACCACCCGTGGTTCCACCCGCGGGAACCATTTCCCACGAGCCACCTGTACCTCGCGGGTGGGGCGGCGGGTAGGCCACTGCCCGCCGTTCGGCCCGCGGGTACACTCCTGTACACCGAAATAATCCCTTCGGGGATTTTCAACACCAAGCTCAAATTCAAGTCCAAAACATGCCAAATCTCACCACATACAACAAAATGACTTGAATCAAAGGAATAGCCAAGCAATGGCATACAAGAACCCTAAACACAAGCTCTAGATATGCATTTTCACAAGACAATGCATCAACACTCACATTTCATAGCAAAACACATGTAGAATCCAAGAAATCATCATATAGGTAAGCAAAATAGATTTTGTAGAGCATGGGTTACCTCTTGAAGACTTATCCTTCACTCACAATACTCCACAAAGCTCCCAACAAGGTTCCCTTTCCACACCCACTTCAAGAACACACCAAAACAACATAAAGATTTCACCTTTATAAAAAGATACTTTAGAAAACACTAAAAACACAAGAGGAGCTTAGATCTTACCCTCCTAGATGCTCAAAAGTATGAAAGGTAGAATCTTGAAAGCAAACTTGAAAGTTCTTGGTAGCCCTAGGTGTGGCTTGGAGAGAAAGCTAACTAGCTTTTAGAGAGAAAAGAGAGAGCTTATGATTTTTCTCTTGGAGAGTGTTTGAAGAAATGAAATGTGTCTTCCTAGGTTAGCTTGAAAGACTATTGCCAAGGAAATGACTTATTTACCCTTACTAAGATGAAAGGTGTAAGGAGACAAGGGAACAATTCACAAAGCTTTAGGTACAACTTTGACTTTGGGTTGACTAGTTAATTACTACTCCCCGACTATTGAATTTTCAGGAATTTAAGGAATTAAATTACCAATTGGATTAGGATTAATTACTTAATTAATCCATTAATTGAATTTGGATTACGGGGTGTCACAGGTAACCCATGCTTTACAAAACCTACTTTACATTTTCTATGATGATTATTGATACTCTATTTGATGTTCTTATGAGATTTGATGCATAATGTTGTGTTTATGCATGTTTAGAGCTTGTATTAGGGTTCTTAAATGCTATCTTTTGAGTATTGATGTGTTCAAGTCATTTTCTTGTTGAATGTGAGGTTTTGGGTATTTTGGACTTGAGCATGGCCTTGTTGATGTTTTTCCCCGAAGGGAATTTCTTCCCTGGGTACGTGTACCCACAGGTGGCTGTCCACCCGCCGTTCCACCGGCGGGAGGTGGAGTGGTGACCGGCGGGCGGTGCCGCGAGTGGAGGTCCACCCGTGGTTCCACCCGCTGGTACCTGTAAGGGGGTGTGGCGGGTGGTTGTCCACCCACCGTTCCGCCCACTGGTACGTGATGCTTTGGCCTCCGTTTTGTTGAATCGTTATACACTTGTGTATCTCCTTTGATGTTTCGTATGTCTAGAACGATGTCCAAAGTATCCATGATAGGATTATGAATCTTGAATCGTGCTTATGGTCTAACCTTGTGATTCGTTGGATTAATGTGAAGTCGTTGAGGTTGATTGAACCGTTATGTTTTTCCTTTTGATGTACATGCTAGTCCTAATGTCGTTGATGCTAGTATGTGTTGTTTGTTTGATCCTAATGAGGATTGACAACTTGTGTTGCCAATCATAGTAGTCTTTGGATTAAAGTCTATCATTGATGTATCGTTGCTTTGATGGTCTATTCATGCCTTTCATTGAATTCTATCGGTTGTATTCTTTGATGTGATCTCGTACATATGTTGTACATGTTTATTGATACTTGATTGGGCTATTGATGAGCCTCAATCCTCTATGATGATGACTACGTAATGTTATATGATTGGTGGACAATAATGAAAGGAGATAGACTATCACGTGATTAGTACTATTCTACATGACTATTGACACTACGAGTGTCCCCGTTTGGCGGTAAAAGCTGGCTGATGCAGGCGGGGAGCGGATCGCTCCGGAGGAATAAGGTTGGACTTGGTGTACAGGGTGGCACTAGGAGGTAATGGTTGGAACTGTAATAAGGTTGGCCTGGAGAGAATGGTTGGAACAGGGCATAAGGTTGGAACTTGAAACTTGTAACTTGTCATTGAATGTGATTCTTGTTTCTCATGGTTTATGAGTATGATTAATGTCATTCCTTGATTGATTACCATATGATGTATCTTGTTGTTAAGAATGTT